ACCCCTCTCAGATATGTGGTTTGCGATTTTTTTCTTCCTGTTCCATAGCTTGCCTTTTCATTCTTTAGTTTTCTTTGCTATGCAGAAGCTTTTTAGTTTGATGTAGTCCTACTTGTCTATTTTTGGTTTGGTTGCCTGTACTTTTGATATCATATCCATGAAATCATCACTAAACCAATGTCATGAGGAATAGCCCACATGTTTTCTTCTAGGAGAATCTGAGTTAAAAATCCATGTTTTGGACCTCCCCCGTGGTGCAGCTGTTGAGTGCTGAGTTGCCAAGCTGCCCGCAACCTCTGCAGCCCCATTCAATCCCCAGCTGCCAGGCGAGGGTCCCACATGACGCACAGACCTCTCCTGCCGCCCACTGCTCCCCTCAGCAGTGTATTTCGTCACTCTGCCTGTTCTATTCCCCACTCTGGCTCTGGTGAATTCTCTCACCCTCCCGCGCTTCTGACTGTACCCAGTGCTTGTATAAATAAATAAATCTTTAAAAAAAAAATCCATGTTTCACCTATAAGCAGTATGATTTTGGACAACTTATTTAACTTTTTAATTCTCATGTCCTTATTTGTAAAATGGTCTTATATACCTGATTCATGGGATATATAATAGATACATATTTTGCCTGTGATACATCTAGCAATAAGTATTATTTATAGTAACATTATGTCTCCTAATGAAAGTTGTGGAAAATAATATAAATGTTATAACATATATGTTATTGTTTCTATTAATTTTGCCATTGATTTTCTTGTCATTTGTTGTTATAATTATTGAAAGGAATGCTAGAATGATCCACTGATAATCAGCTTAGAAAGACCCATTCAGACTACATGATTGATGTCATTCAGACCCAACGGTCTCACAGATGAGCATTTTTACTTTGAACTGAGCTCGGGTAGGAAAGGTTGAACAGAGTTAACAGCACTGTCTTCCTTTCTACAGCGTTAAAGAAAGAAGGCCTTGCTTCTATTACAGAAACTTTAAAATGTTTTCTGGCACATCCAGAGCCCCTTAGAGCCAATAATTAAAATGAATCTGAGAGCATCATTTATCCATCTCAGCGTTCCAAAGAGATAAACCATAAACTACAGTTAAACAGTGATTCTCAGACTTTGGCATCCATCAAAATTTGGAGAACTTGTTTAAACAGATTGCTGGACTCCACCTCCAGAGTTTGGGGTTCATTAGACCTGGGGTGGAACTCCAATTTTTATTTCAAATAAGGTCCCACAAAATACTTATGATGGTGGTTTGGGGACCACACTCTCAGACCATTGAGTTCTTACATGTTGTTGAGACATGAGTAGCCTGACTCCAGAGCAAGAATGTGTATGCAAATCTCTTCACAAAGTAAAGGTGAATTGCCTGGTCACCCCCAAGAAAATGAGAGATTCCTGCCTTTAGCCCCAATCCTTTCAACCCTACACTGTTTTTTTCTTACTTTATTAACTTACCAGTAGGGAAAATGATCTCATGAAGTTGTTTTTAAGCTTTTGTGAGCCTGATAAAAATCTATACACATCCTCTTCAGCAAGTTCTAAATACACATATACAGAAGTATGGCTTATAATTCCAGGAGGTTCTTTTTTTTTTTTTTTTTTTTTTAAAGATTTATTTATTTATTTTATTATTATTATTATTATTTTTTATACAAGCACTGGGTACAGTCAGAAGCGGGGGAGGGTGAGAGAATTCACTGGAACCAGAGCGGGGAGCAGAACAGGCAGAAGGACCGAAGCACACTGCTGAGGGGAGCAGCGGGCGGCAGGAGAGGTCTGCGCACCATGTGGGACCCTCCTCCGGTGGCCGGGGAGCAGCCGGGGATCGAACCGGCGCCACAGAGGCTGCAGGCAGCTTCGCAATCCAGCGCTCAACCGCTGCGCCACCGGGGAGGCCCCAGGAGGTTCTTGGAGTACTCCCCCATCAACCCACCCAAAGACCCTTAGAAATATCAGTTTTTAAAAAATATCCTAAGGCAAAATCTTGGGTTCTCTTGGATGTAACAAGAATCCCCTTCCTCTTAACCTACAGTTAACTCATTTGTAAAATAGGAATAATAATAATAGTTATTGCCTCAAAGATTGTAACTGAGGTAATACATGGAAATTTGCACAAAATACATGCATACATTGTAATGTTATTACAATCATTACCACCTTTGAGAGCAGGGGAAGGGATGTGGTTAATCTGGGGCAAATTGCTCAGGGACAGGGAGGAGAGAATGGAAATGCTTCTTCCTCTAAGGGTGGTGTGGTAGGATTGAAGTTGGCTGTCCTGGGTACTATCCAGAGGCCCCCCAAAAGCAACAGCAGAAAGAACAAGAGTCTGAAAGAGGCTAGAGTCCCACACTACTTTTACTCCTGAGGCAGGCTAACCCCACTATATTTTCTGCCTATGATGTTTTGACATCTTTAAAAATCTTTCTGGCTGGAGAAAGACTGCCAGGGTACCAGGGTGCTAGACAATAGAGATAGCAAAGCACCCAATTAAGATATGCCACTGATATGCATACTAACCAATCCAGAAAAATCCTTTATCTGGCCCACATGCCCCCAAAAGGAATATTCTTCTGCCTTAATCATCCAGATCTGGAAGGCAACCTGGAACCACCCCTATAGTTTAGGGCCCACTGCAATTATTTAAACTAGCCAATCCTAAACTGTTAACCCTGCCCTGTCTTGTCTTCCCCTTGGGAATCTGTAAATTTATCATTTGCCCCTGCTTCTGCTCCCTGACCCAGCCTGGTGCTCCTTCTGTGGCCCTCCACCCCCAGCTGTGCCTCCTGTCTTTAGAGGGATAGCAACTGACCAGCAACAGGTGATGTAATCTGGGAACCTGAGGTAGGCCTAAGGCAGGGCCCAGGTCCCCAAATTTTGTGAAGTTCGCTGGTGATCCTGATGCATAAAAGGATTGGGGAACTCCTGCGGGACATAACATCATGATGGGATATATACAGGAAATGTGGGTTCACCCTATACCCATGCTCATGAACACCGTGTCTTGAAAACCTTCAGTTTTGGTCTCCAACAGTGTCTCAAACACAATGACCTCCATTGAATGTTGTAGTTTACCCTCCATCCCCGCCGCTAATCCTCAGCAAATATATCAGGAGATGGAGAGGCTGCATGCTTGGCAAGGTCGTCTGAATTTCCCAAAAGGACAATGTGCATACAAGTCATCGTTTTCACCCTTTGTCCTCGAATGAAAGAAGAAAGAGAATTTGGCTGTGTTACAGGGACACCGTGAAGGAGTTTATTACTGGGTGGTTTTAGTCTTCAGAAAATAGACTACCTAATTCTGTTGATTTTCCGCCAGATTTGTACAATATTCATAGCAGTTTTACTGCTATCATTATTTATATTTCTTAGAAAAACCATACAGTACAAAGATAAGGCAGGTTTTTAATGCCCCTTCACACACTGCACTCAGTGATTTGGTGACTGTGCAAAGTCAGACAAGCCAAGCTGGTCCCGAAGCCGCATCCTCCTGAGCCCCAGTTCTGCTTCTGCGCCATAATGGAGAAGGGTAACATAAAGGCATTTTTCTCTCCTTGTAAAAGAGAAAAATGGGGGAGGGGGATTATTTAAACACACCTCCCTCATACTGCGATAGCTGCATTGTTTTTCCTGTTGAAACACCCTGTTGGTTTTTAAATCCCTTTAAACCTAGCCGGCACCTGTATGGCTCAGATCCAAAAATTATTACCAAACCCCTTGCTTTTTATACTTAGCCACATAGGAGTTTCTGTGATGGTATCTGGTTCTTGGTTAGTTGAAAATTTCTGAGCTTCTAGAAGTTTTCTTCTTCCCTAGAAACCTGATTTTTTTTGTTCTTAATTAAGGAAAATATGGTTCCTCACTGCCCCATTCCTCATGCTGAATAAAGTAGTATGATGACTCTACCCTATATTGCTTCTCTGTGAAGATCCTTCTGAAATATTAACCAAAAAAGAGGACAAGGTCAGGGGCGCGGGAGCTCTGTCGGCAGTTTATGGTTTGTGAGATGACCTCTCTTTGGGGCAAGAATTGAGGCTGAAAACATAATGAGAACTTCCCAGAAAATTCATTATAACAAAGCATAATGTAAGCTTGCTGGGCACAAAAAATAGACCGAAGGAAAGTGACTCCCACATAAGACCTAATTAAATACTTTGATGTCAGAAAGCAGAGCAAGGAGGGGTGGAAAATCAAATCAGACCAAAATGAAGGACTTAAACTCAAATGGAAAGAAGACAAATTCTCTCTCTCCCCCCCTCCCCTCCCCCACCCCTCCCTCTCGGTGTGGGTCTCTGTCTCTCTCCTTTTCTTGCTTTGCCATGAAGGAGGAATAAGATTCAGGAACAATGGGTTGTAAATTCTTCAGCCAATTAGTCCACTGACTTACTACTGTTTAAAACGCACAGAATGTCACAGGCTGTTTTGCAGCCTCCCCAAGTTGGTTTGTTAATAACAGGAAGCTAGCACTTCTCAGTACAGTGGATCAGCTACACGTGAAAATAAATGCAAAAAACCTGGAGGGGAATAGCAGCAGACCGAGAGTAGCCTTGATTTAATTTAACATTTGGGGGTCCACACACAAATGAGCATTTTAGTAGGCTTCATGGTGGAAGTTGCTGTCATTTGTAAAATATTCTGGCCAATTAGCTAATAGTGTGCTTGGATTTCTCCTGTTTTGATACAGTAATACTAAGTACATTGTGAAGCCCAATTATACAAATCATCCCCATATGCCATACCAGTCTTTCTTTATGAACTGTGTTTATAAATCCTGTGTGAGGAAATGTGTACTTCAGCAATTTAGACCATGTGTAAAAACATAGCCAATGGGATTGTCAAGAAAACAAGTTCCAGCCTAGGAAATCCTAATGTGTTCCGCTGGAATAACAGGAGGGTGCCGGGAGTGCAATGCTCTGCTTAAATACATATTGCTTTAGAGTGTTTAACCGATTTAGGGGCTTCCGCTTCCCTTTCTGTTATTTTATTCTTTTCTTTTAGGATCCAACCTTGGAGTTTTTCAGAAAATTTGGGATTGGTCTTGTCTCGGGCACAATCGCCTCAGTCATTAACATCCCTTTTGATGTTGCCAAGAGTAGGATTCAAGGGCCTCAGCCAGTTCCTGGAGAGATCAAGTACAGAACTTGTTTTCAAACAATGGCAACAGTCTACCAGGAAGAAGGGTAATGCATTCTCGTTTTAATAAATATGTAAGACTCGGTGTGGTTAAAACCGTCCTGTACTTCCATTTTGATGAGAGCCTTTAAGTTCGCTTAAATTGGGTGTGTGTCTGGGAAGCTCTATGAGATCGAGGACCAACTTTGCAGGACAACACAATCATCAGCTGTTGGCAAAACATTCTTCCACCAACAAGAACTATGAGCTGCCACCATACAATATGCTCCACATGGATCCGAAGATGCTAAGATGAACTTTGAACTTGTCTACATAATGTACATAGAATATGCCCCATTAACATGCAGGCAGATGAACGATTGTTTGCTGACTGTAGAGCTAATCAAAATGTCACCTAATCATATTCTACTAAGAGAATTAGACAGGAGTGTTCTTCAAAAGTGATTCCCTTTAAATTTTCTTTAAAGAATGTAAAGTATGTGTCTTTTTCTGGTGGTCTTTTACCCACCCCACCCCCCATCCCTCCGCACCCAGGTCTTAGTCTCAAGTAAACAAGTAATATTTTATTATTTTGATCTAAACTGCATCATATTTCCTTATGTGAAGACTGAGTTTGTGGTCTTTTAAATTCAATTATAAAAGTCATATTGTCCATATACACAGCTGCCTTGAAAGTAAGATCCGTCTGGAAAGCAAAAACCATCTCGCTGATGAAAGTCCTATTTCTGATTGGACGAGCTCAACATAGTTTGGGTAATAACGAATTGATTCTGTCCCCTCGTCCAATTTGCAGCAGAGAATACTTAGTCAAATACTGTCTGGTTTGGGATTTGAGTAATTTTAATATTTTTTTGTAAATTCTGGATTAGCATTTGAACAAAACTGAAGTATTTAATTTTCAGACTAAAAATGTTCTTTCCTTTCTGGTTACAGGATTTTAGCTTTGTACAAAGGCCTGCTTCCCAAGATTATGAGGCTTGGACCAGGTAACGATGTTTTTATTACTTATATCCTTCCTTCTTTATTGTTTCCAGTTTCTCCCTTTTTTCTTATTTGTTTCTATCAGCCACACAATAAAAGTTTGCTGTACTAGAAGATAAAAACATTGAGAATATAAAGTTGCCTCTGAGTGTTCAAGATACGGAAGGCTTCCATGACACATGTTCTACCTTTGTTTATAAGGCACTATTTATGGCCTTGCTGGAGGCTGATAGAAGCCAAAACCCAGCTTAAATCAATAGGACAGGATCCGCCGCCAGTGGCCGCTCAGGTGAGCACAGATACACCCAGCGACTCCGGGCTGGAGAGGAAGATTTTCAGTGAGTGAGAGACCCACCCAGGGAAACCTTTCCCAGTACTCCTAGTTCATTCCTGTTCCTGCTTCACCTCTATTTTCGAAAGAGAAAAAGAGGACAACTTGCCTCCTTGAACAGTAAATGTCACTCGTCCTCACAGTCACCTCTAGGAAGAGGTGAAGCCACAGCCTGGCGTTCACCTTCTGGCCTCAGTCAGCAAGAAGGTGGAGGCTCCTGGCTCAGGGCCTTCCCTCAGGAGGGCAGCCCACAAAAAAACCAGCTGCCATTCCCACAGGGAGAGTCAGCTGCCTCTCTGTAAACAGATAAAAAAAACAACTGCTGCAGACTCAACGGCCTGGGCAAATAGCCTTGGATTATAAACCAGTGCAGAGTATGCACAGGGTGTGCATGTATTTTTACTCACTGACCTAGACGATCTGGTAATCTTCACTAGAACTTTCTCCTCCTCCTTTCCTCGCTCCCTTTCCCACTCCTGCCATTTTAACATCAATATCCTCCTCCCACCACAGTCACACACATGCACATTTACTTTTCAATCTCAATCCATAAAACAGCATCTGAGAGAACAATTGACTGGAAATTGAAGCTAGTGAAACCGTTACAATTTCACTTATTCAGAAAACACTCCCACGACTCCCAGTTCATGTCTTCAAACCTCCCTTGGAATTTGAACATGGATTTTGCTTCATCTTTGAGATCCAGACTTGCCTTATGTTAGTCATTGGTCCAATAATAAAGAATATTGGTGATTTTATGCAGCTCTCGCTGCACATATGTGGTGTATTTCCTTCACCACCCAGTAAAAACCAGCCAGTAGACCTAGTATTAGACAAAATCACAGCACTGGCCCCAACTTAGCTTTTTCAGAAGGGGATGGACCTTCTGACCAGGAAGAACTTAGCTAAAAAGCTAATTGACTGGAACCTTAATCCGAAACTCTAAAATAATCTGACCCCAAGTTTTGTTAGAGGCTTGCAAATGTTTGGTTGGCTTTTTAAATGTTTTTGCATGAGGTGTCCTGAGTTGCTGTGTTGTTAAGTCCAATGACAAGAGTTGTTGAGAACTGTGTAGGCTAAACAAAACTGAATGACTAGAATGCTTGCTCAAGGACCTGGCCTCCGCTCTTATTCCAAATGTGCAAGTCCTAGAAACTTCCAAGGAAAGAAAGGTAGAGAAAAAGGTAAGACTTTCGAATTAAGGATAAGTTTTTTTTCTTTTTTTTAATATAGAGAGACAAGCTGAAAAACAGAGATGGTGGGGGGAAAAGTGGTGAACTTAGAGTTTTCATCCTTAGCTCTGGAATACCGTCCCATCATATTTTTCTAACAATCTTAGCACCTTTATGTGGTTGACAATCAGGTACTGCCCAAGAAAGGAAGGTCACGAAGTCTATGGTTTCACTTCCAAGTATCACTAGGCCGAGAGCAATTCTGCATGTTGTCTTACACTGTGAACAGTTAATAAGAGTAAACACAGCAATTACATACAAATTGACATGTAATGTGTCCTTTTTGTTTGCTAGAGCTCCGCGAGGGTTTAAAGCAGCTGTGAGGAGGGGCCTAATAAAGTATCATCATGGGTTAAAAATGAAAATTACAGGCAGATAATTATCTTTGGTATATAGTTACACAAACATGTGTGGCCTGTAGACTGAAAAAATAAAAAATAAAACACATGGCATTGTGTACAAAATAACTAAGATCAAAATCAAGTTTTATTTCTTTCCATCAGAAGTCAATCTTCAATTCATGCAGCCAAGTCTTTCCTAAGTTGTGCTCAGGATATTTGTCCACATTTTGCCTTTGTAATATTTTTCACACAGACATGAAAAGATAAATAGAGATTATCTTAAAGGGCATGGAACATGTGCTATTTGCTGCATCAGATAAAATACCAAATCATCCACATATAAATGTTTCTCCTGATATCCAGGTACCCAGCAGCTTCAGTGCCTGTTTTTCTGTATCATGTTCCTGTTGACATATTAAATAACAAGCCTCTTTGCAGTCAGTTACATAATTCTTCTCTTCCAAACAAAGGATGGTCTAGGATACCCAACCCCCATACCCAATTTTCAATTTCCTTAATGTGTAACTGAGGCACATGAAAGGAGGTTGAAAGCTAGCTAAGTTTTGTAATACAGATTTTTTAAATATTCATTTTGTGAAAAAGAATATTTATCACGTGTAATTCAGTTTGAAAGTTGTCAGAGAAAAAACAGACTCATCCATCAAGCACCATCCTAGAGTTCTTCTTTGAAGGCAATGACAACAATGCTAGTTATGGATTGAAAAAGATAAATCCTTTGCCTACATAGGAAGGTTTCTGTTTGCAGGAAAGCTGCATGCCCTTACATGACTAAATATGTCTAAATTTATTGACTTTTAAAAATTAAAAGTGCCAAAAAAGAATCTGATGAGAATTGATGAAAGTTAACGAAATTCATGGGGAAAATGCATTTGGAGACTTAAGATGGTCTTGATTTTTACCCTGAGAATGTTCCACAATTGTTTGCTATCAGTGTGTTGTAGCTTGAGGACGATAATCTTCATAAAGCAGTCTCTACTGGCTAGGCTGTGTCACACGTCATGGACTCACAAACCCAGTGCGTAAGACAACACTATTTTACAGAATTTGCAATAAAAACCAGCCCTTTTCTTTTCCAGGTGGTGCAGTGATGCTGCTGGTTTATGAATACGCCTATTCATGGCTTCAGGAGAAGTGGTAACGGCCTGCGGATGTGTTTCCCCCTCTGAGATAATGGATATTTGCTATGTAGCACTATAAGGAGAGAAGGTCAATCAGCTAAGCCAATATAATTATAACATAATTATACATTTATAGAGGGGAAAATTATTTGTTCTAGAAAAGAACTTGTTTGCTACATCTGAAATTATCTCTAGACAAATTGAGACTGTGGTTTAGACCGGTCCATAAAATCATAAAAAAAAATAAATAACATGAGGCAATAAAGTATGTAAACTGAATACAGAGAAATGCCATAGAAATCAGATGTATCTCACAATCGCAATATAAATTTTGTGCTCTGAAACTTCATTATATTGATAATTATTTTTGCCAAGAAATGCTTAAAGAAAGTTCTTGAAAATAAATCATTCTGTGGTCATGTCTTTATTCAAAGAAAAACTCGGTTAAAAAATTGTTAAGCCGGGCCTCCTTGATGGCGCAGGGGCTAAGATGCAACCTATGAAGCAATCCGCAGCCACTGCAGCACGAGTTCAATTCCCGGCCAGCCAAGGAGAAACCCACATGGCGGGACAGACCTCTCCTGTCTCACCCACTGCTCCCCTCAGCAGTGTACTTCGGTCCGTCTGCCTGTTCTGTTTCCCCACTCTGTCTCTGGTGAATCCTCTCAACCTCGCATCTCTGGCCTATACCCCAATTCTTATATAAAAATAAATAAATCTTTTCAAAAAAATTGTTAAGCCAAAATATAAGCAGTTTCTATGAGGAATTAAGTTCTTCCAAAAAAACATTTAAAGTACACAAGAAAAATATTTTTTAAATGCACTAAAATACCTTTTCAAAATATTGAATTTTAAGAGTACTATGTTAAAATGAAAACCTGTTGGTTTTCTGTAGTAATAATACACATCTCAGTTATATTTTCCTAAATCTGTATTTTGAACTGCTGTTTACAACAGGTCACTTTTTATTTATTTATTCGTTTGTTTGTTTTAATTTTTTTTTTTTTTTTTTTTTTTGTGGGACCCTCGCCGGTGGCCGGGGATTGAACTGGCGCTGCAGAGGCTGCGGGTAGCCTTACAACCCAGAGCTCAACCACTGCGCCACCAGGAGAGGCCCAACAGGTCACATTTTAAAAGCATGATATTTGAGGTCTTTTATGGCAAATAGAAAACGTAAACTATTTTTCTTTCACGTAGTTCCTTCGAAAACAAGCTTTGTTGCTGAAATGTTTTCATGTGAAATCACAAATTGGAACCACTCCTTGGGCCCATTTGTACTGTCTCTATTTGCATCCAAATACTTCTGTTCAGAACTCTTACTGAGAAGTGAGAACAATGTTTAGAAGAAGACTACATTTCCAGGTTATTAGTTATAAGTGAGTTTAGGGTGTGAAGTCTGCTATCTACATTGTTAAAATATGTATTATGAAAGGAAAAATGTTTCAAAGTAGAAGTACATTCTTAGCATTTCTGAAGATTCCTGTACTAACATGCACTCCAAAAAATATCTCCTTGTCCGTGATATAACCAAACTTCATTTTAATTCTGCGTCCTGAAATGATGCTGCTTCAGTAGCTAAAAATCAACAAAAATATTTGCACATTCTAGAAAACACCTGTTCTTAAGTACTACAAGATAGTTCTATCATGAGGCTGTTATTAGGCATTTTGAAAATAAAAAATAAAAGATAGCACGGTAATTATTACTTTTTATTAATTTAGAGCATTTGAAGTATAAAAATAAAGGCTTTTTGACATACTGTATATACATACACAGCCTTCGGTTGTACATCCTTTCCAACATGTTTGTTAATTTATATTTCAGCCCAATATTCAATAAAAGGGTCATTAAAAATAGGAAAAAAGAAGAGAAATCAGATTGTGTCTATTGTACAACTGCGTTCTGACCTTGCAGGTAATACTCATATCTTGCGAGAAAGAGTCATGGCAGCATAGAGATCATGAGATGTGCCCGTTAACCTCTCGGCGTGGATGGGATGGAAAAGGATCTCTGAAGAGTGCACTGGCCAGTTTTAAAACAATACTGTTACTCCCCCTTCCCCAAGAAACACAGCAAATATGTCAATATTAACCAATAATAATAATGTTTAAAAATCAAATAATCCAAACCTTATATCCCATCCCATTTTCCTTCTCTTCTTTTTAAAATAACCTTAAGTCATAATTTGCTCTTAATGGAAAATTGTACTTGGACTTTATATTGTCTTTTTTAATTTACTGCATGTGAGTTCACTGTGGTAATGAAAAGACCTGGGGGTGCGGGGGGGAGAAGAAAACTTTGATACCATTAATAGTCATAAATTTTTAAAATTACGAGAACCAGAAAAAAATATATAAATAGCATAATAACAAGAGATTTCTTAATTTAGATAAAGAAAATAATATTTAATTGTGTTTCCATACAAACAATTGATATTTTTTAAAGACTCCTAATAGCCACCTAAAAACATCTAATAAGGAATAATTCTGTACCTTATGTCAGTTTTTCTGGACGGCAGGAGAGTCCCTGTATGGTATGGTTTTAAAGTCTCCAACAAATTATTGGACTGATATCTTTTGTTCCATTTGGTTTATAGTCTATTTTCTCACAAGACTGGGAACTCCAGATGTCAATGGGAGTTTTACAAGATCAAAGGAAGACTATGGCCCTGAGAGTTCATCTGCTCCTTCTGCTTATTCTTCTCCTGAAGTTATAATCCTCTGTTTGTAGCACTGAATTTCAGTTGCTTTAGAAATAGATGCAGTTCAAAGCTCCCTATAAGATATCGGCTGCTTAAAAAAGCAACTCCTTGAACATAACTTGTGTGTCAGAAATCTGCTTACTGTTTATATCCCAGTGATTTGAAAATGTGGCTAATCTAGCCATCTGAGTGTTAAATGCAGTCATGGAAATGATGTGACGGAACTGGATTGCCATATAGGCTGTGCACAGCATATATAGGAAAAAAATCAAAATCACCTAACGAATGCATTTTTAACATCCATATATAGCAATGTGCCCTTTTAGTTATTGCACAGAATTAATACCAAAAGACCCACAATATATTAATTTTCCAATAGATGAATTGTACCAATGATTTTAAAATGTATTTTCAAGCCTATATTGCCAAGCAGGAACAACCATCTAAACAGAAGAGATCAAAACCACAGAATTTTGCCCAAAAAAAAATCAATTGTCTTAAAATATAACACATAACACACACTCACACACACATATACCCCACAGCTCTACCATTAATATGAAAGTGAAAAATGAATTGGTCTAGTAAGACTTATCAGTTAAATTGTGTCCTGCAACTCCAGAAATGAATAAATGGAATTTGTTAAAATTAAATAGCATTTGTATTTCTAATACCACCACCAGTTTACCTCACGTGAAACATGCTTCTGTACAACAATGTAAACTTCACAGCAAGCCATTTTTACATTCATTAGAGCAGAATTTTCCATTTTCTTTAAATTACAACATAATTTGGGGCTGAGATTGCTGAACACACAGGTAAGCCAACAATAACAGTACAATTTAGTTTCACAGTGGTTCTCATAACAAAAAGTTCATGTAAGTGTCTTTGCAAAGCATTTCACATTAAACATAAGTTTCTAAGTGACTTTCTTTAGAGCTTTCTTGTTCAGATATTTTCCACCCTCTTGTCTTTATATGCTTGGCATGTGTGTTATTTGATTAGGATACAAAATGGGAGACTGGCTTGTTTGATCTGTTTTTTTGAGTCCTCAGCTGTAGAAAGAAAATGTCCTTCATGAGATGTCAAAACCTTCACTGCACACACAAAATCTGGGGCAAGTCCAGGTCCAGGAGCCCAAGCAGCCCACCACCAAACAGAGACAAAGACATTGTCAGAAAGTCACCTCTGCAAAAGGAAAGGAAAAAAAAAAAAAATAGGAGTGGGGGTGGGGAGGAGGCATGAAAACACAAATGCACCATCCAGAGTCCATATTTACAAACTAGTAGAAAATATAAACATTATTGTATTTGAACCCAAGTCAAAACACCAGGAGGAGCTGAATTCAGATACTGCTTGTGTGATACAACTATTTTGCAACAAAATAGGTCATCTCAAAAATAAACAAAGCATCACTCAAACAAGTCAATTATTGATTGGTTTTCTAATGAAGTATTAAGGCTTATTTCACCACCTTATTTGATTAGAGGGTGTAGCATAGCTTTTTTCTACATGTATTTTCCTTTATTGATTTGAAAAATCTCAACAATTGCACGTTTCAAAAGTTCAGGTTGATTTAGAATAAATATACACATGTGGTTTTACCAAAGACTAGTTTACAAAGTTCCTTAAGCCCTTTGAGGGGTGCAGGTTTCTTCACTACGTTAAAACAGTGTGTGGGCAACACAAATGTCTCGTTCAATCCTCTTAGCATTGCTTTTGTTTTTAAATCTTAAAGTCATGTCAGGTTTTCTGTGAGAGAGAAGTTATGGCAAGAAAATATTTAAGTGTCATCAGCACAAAGGATGTGAGTCCGTAAGCCAGCTTTCGAGGCAGGAGAGTTGGAGAGCAGGAAGGGTGGGATCCGAGACCAGGGGAGCAGGGGAGGGTGTGCCGAGAGGGGGGACCTGGGTGAAGCCGCTGCAAACGGAATTTCCCATCAGAGTGCAGAAGCCGTGACAGAGTGACTACCTTCTCTGGCTGCCTGCATTCCCTTGAACGCCAGCGACGCAGGAATGTCACAGTTGTGGGGGGAAAGTGGGGTGCCGCTGGCATGTTGCCACCCGTGTCCAGCAACATAACCAGAAGGAGCAGCGCTGTAGGTCATGTAAGGCGACACTTGGGCTGGGGTAGGGTAAGGAGCCATGCTGGATGCTGACACAAAACTGCTCACAGCTGGGAGGCCATTTGGTGCCTAAGAGGAGGGAAAAGAAGGGGCGAAAAGAATCATGTTATAACAGTTGACATTTCATGGGTTCTTAGAAAAAAAACAACGTAAGTTCTGAGAACTAGCAGCTGACAATATTCTGACTCTGCTTTCTAAATTTGTTTTAGATCTGACCTTAATTATATTCTAAATGCATTCACCGTCTTGCTACGTAAGCGAATATAATGCCGAAAGACAAGATATTCTTTCCACAAAGGTTTTAGAGAAGGTAACAACCAGAAAATTCCCTGTATTTGTCTTTGCTATTTGGCATTATAGGAAGGAAATGCAGGGTGAGGCAATGAATGGTGATTAAATACTCTTAGACTCTGTTCAGCTATCCAATGCCTTTGTCAGCCTTCTCTCCATGTTTGGGTTTTGTTTGACTCTTTTGTTGAGGCATTTGCGACAGTCCAAGTTGGTGTAGCTTTCATTTCCAGTAAAGAAGGGCACAGAGCAAGCATGGACTGTCACTTTGGAAGCTCAGAATAGGCACAACTTTGTTAAATAACACATGGGTTGTATTCTTAAACATCATCTTGAAAATACCCATTGGACACAGGATTTACAAAATCAGGCAAGTTTTGTATGTGTGTGTGTGTGTGTGTGTGTTTAAACGAAGATTGGGGTATTCCTTCTCCAAACTAGTTTATCAAAAAGGAAATTCTATTCTAATATAGAATAACAGTGTATGCGTGATTTTGAAACTGGAAAATTGGTTTACAAAGTTTTTCGGGCCCGCAGTGTGATTTTTTAAAAGCCACATGGATATATCTCTTGAAAATAATTTAAATGTAAAATCTTAGTTTGTAAACAAAATGCAGCAGCTCTGGCAGGCAAGTCTGCCTAAAATCAGTGCTCTCTTGGCATCTAATAATTATTGTTGGTATTGTTACTATTGACAACACCAAAACCCCTTGATTTCTAAGCCTTGATTCTGGCATGAACACTTGTCATTCTTCTTCAAGAAACTTTCCCTCCTCAATTTCTATATTATTTAGAAATAAAGAGTAACTCTGACTTCCCAGTAGTGAGGTGAATGAATTAACAAATCAACATATTTCCTAGTGAAAATATAATGTAAACAATAGAATTATTATTAGTAAAGCTGATTTAATCTTTGGAGGTAAGTGAAACAGACATATCTTAGATAGTTTTTCCAATTCAACTGCAACATAGAAATAGTTTTCTAATTTAATTCCTTTGGTTATTATTTTTATTTCCACATCTATGAGAATGCAAATGGCAACAGTCTCAACAAATTTTTCTGTTTAAAGAAATACACTGTTGATGAGGATGAAATGGAAGTATAAGCTGTGTCCTCGGTGTTTAAGATCACACACCTCAAGTTCTGGTTGTCAAAGTGCCTATACTTTGAAAAATGAAGAAAGGGAAAGGAAACTAAGGTTTCTTGAGTATGTCCTATGTCCTAAGCAACAAGAAATAGCCAATATATTTTATCAAATATAGAGAACTGATCAATTATAACTTATAAATTATTGGGTTTATAATAATTACATAATAATTACAGGATAATACACAAGTACAACACAATGTACAATTGATATTGAAATATATTACAAGGATCCCAAGAGCTGATGCTGTATGTTTTTTAACAATAAACCATTGAACATGCCTGCTGAATATAAATAGAATACTATCCTTTTTTTATACACAAGAACATAGACCCAGGAATTTAGTCATTTACCGCAGACCCATTGACATGTCAACGGCCATGTGTTAAAAGAAGTTATAACCCCTGTCTTGTGCAGGATTCTCTGTGGCAAGTTATATTGCTTTTCCTGAACAATTAAAAGATATATATAATTTAATATCAAACTAGAACATCTTCAGAGACAACATCTGGTAAAAATTGTCTTCTTCTAGAACCTGATTCTCATTGTTAGATTTTTATTCTGCTTCTTAATTTCTAAAAATCATCTTTCCTCCCTTCTGAGAATGGCACATTTGAGGATGGCTCAAAGGAGATACATTTTAAGACTCTACACACGAGTAAAAAGACAGAGAGCTGTCAAACAGCAAAAGAAATCTAGCATTGCATAGCCATTAAAGTTCAGATCTTTTTTCAGATTTTCTTAATAACTGATGAGACATTGCTGCAATTCAGTATCGAAAGGTATTTCCAACTGTGTTTGGCCTCTTCTGTTCCAGCTTTAATTAGGATTTTATACTTATTGGTGCTAGTGCGCACAAAGAATCCTAAAATAGGAATGTTAATATTAAAATGGTAAGGTAAAATTACTTTTAAAATAATAAAAACCTTTGCTCAACATTTTTCAAGTACCTAAAGGTTAAAATCCTTTATATTACACATGACAAAAACGTCCTACTTAGCAGAAAAAAAGAATCTGTTGGCAGTTTCATTTTTTTAACACTGCCAAAATTTTCCTACCCATGCTATTTACTTTGTATTTTGTTTATCATCCATTTCTCTCTGAAATATTTGCTTTGCCATCTTTCTCCCCCACTCTACCCCTCCAACCCCCCCACCCCTCGGCCCCATTACACCCTTGCCCTTGGATCTATGGTTTCTTGATGCACCCTGGGACTTGGGACTCTTCAGCTGTTCTGTTATTATGTCTACAGTCCCCTTACCTGGACCCACTTCTTTTTGCACAAAGAAGTTCCCCTGCTGGACAAGGACCTCTGAGCCTGGACTGGACACTCATCTTGGATAGTGCTCTGGGATTTAGGAGAAGGCAGAGCACTGGATTTAGGCCCATGCTACCTCCAGGTGCCCCACTTACTCCATGACTAAATTTGTGTGTTAAGTATAAAAAAAAGTACTGATTTTTTCCATAGTTGTCCAATTTCTCAACTTGAGGCACCAAACTTGATTTCATGTTTTTATTCCTGTTAGTATTAAAGATTTAGCAGTTCTCCAAAATCCACAACGTACTTACGGTGATTTTAGTGATACAGTTCCCTTGTCTTACAGAAAAAGACAATAAGAAAGGAAGGATGGAGAGGCTTGACCTCTTCATCTTGTAGAAAAAGGCAAGGGGAGGCTAATGTATTTGCTGAGAGAGAGAGAGAGAGAGAGAGAGAAGAAATTTTAACAATGAACAATACAAAAATAGCTCTTAGCTTTCCCTTAGATTAGATAATGACTTAGATGGGGTGGGAAAGATTTTGTCTTAATTTTCCTCTTTTAAAGTTTCAATATAGAATTTTTTTAAATGGCATAAGCAAGATGTGAAAACAAACATGCTTTTAAATGTACCTGCCACTTCACTATTCATTCACT